ACAATTGAATAAAATGTATTTTCAGATCCTTTTAATATATATGTATATATATATATATATATACATATATATATATATATATATATATATATATATATATATATATATATATATATATATATATATATATATATATATATATATATATATATATATATACATATATATACATATATATATATATATATATATATATATATATATATATATATATATATATATATATATATATATATATATATATATATATATATATATATATATATATATATATATATAATTTACATTACATATAACGCATCAATGTAATTATGTATTGTAACAATAGAATAGCTTACTGAGTAACTACCTTACAAAAAGTTAATGTTGATAAAATATCTTTTAAGCTTGAAAAAAACGGAATTCTAATATTTGTAAACACTCTGAAAAAAGATAGAAAGTTCATCTATCTGAAAAAGTAAAAAATAATAAGTTGCTACTCTCAAAAAATTTTTAAAAGGATCTGAAAATGCATTTTATTTATTTTGAGAGGTTTTTTATTTTATTTGAATAAATGCATTATGTAATGGAAGTTCCTTTTATAAAATTTCCGTTTTAGGAATAGCTAAATGCATATTTAATAGCCAAAAATTAGAAATAGCAGCTCGTTGTCAATCAGAAATTTGTTAATATTTGATATCCGTAGCCGATTTTAAAACTCTGGAAAAATGCAAATTTTACTGCGCTTGCGTATAATAACTTTCTACTTAATTAGTATGTCTGAATGACTGTGTAAATCTAAGCTAAAATTTCATTTTTCATATAAATGGCTGCTCGCCTATTATATTTCTCAGTATAATAATGATCATGGTTGAATTAATATAAACTTATATTTAAATTTCTAAAATTGAAGACCTTTTTTTTTTGTGACAAAAAATACATACAACCCCCCCTCCCCCAATAAGAGACCTCTTCGGGACGGCCCTGACCTAAAGATAAATTCAGCTAATTAAATGAAATTTAGAAGTTTTGATTAAGCTATAGTTAATCAAATTCATGTATATATATGCATATATATATATATATATATATATATATATATATATATATATATATGTGTGTGTGTGTGTGTGTGTGTGTGTGTGTGTGTGTGTGTGTGTGTGTGTGTGTGTGTGTGTGTGTATGTATGTATGTTACATACATACATATATAAATACATTTTAATTTGGTATTTAAATTCACAATATCCCAACATACATACATACATACATATATTCATAGATAAAATGTATGTAAGTTAGGCCCCTGCAAATTGGGAATTTAAATATCGAATTGAATCTTGAATATATTCACCAAATTAATAAAAGTTAGTTCCATTTTTTAACTATTTATAATAACTAAAATAAAATACCTAGTAAAATTTTTTCATATTTTTCTAATATTCTAGTGAGCAAAATTTAATCAAATTAGGGGGCTGTTAGTTTTTTATGTTCATAACTTTTGAACACTGAAATATATTAAGACAAAAAACTGTAGATAAATTTTGTATAAGATACTGAAACTATATATTTTATTGTCATCATGTTTTGGCAGAGGCAGTGAACTTGTAGGGGTATTTTTGTTCCCAATTTATGAATTTTTTTAATTTTTGTAGAACATTCAGATTTGACCCAATCATGAACATACTTAAATAGAGTTCAAAAAATACTTTTTGAATGTTCAAAAAATCACTTTTGCAAACGAAATGCTGCTGGGCATGTTACAGAGATGTGAAGTTGTGTTAAAGTTTTTCACACTTAAAGTGGTTTTGTATGTTTTACTTTAAAATAGGAATTAGAAATAGTTTACATAATTAAAAGTAAATTTTTAAAATGATTTCTCAAATTAATTGCTCTATAAAATGGAATTTAAAATAGAAGTTGTACATTTTTATACAGTTTAAAATAGGTTTAAAAAATTAAGTGCAACATTTTGTAAAAAATCTTCTCTTTATAGTTGAAAATTGAATTTTTGTTCAGATAAAAAAAGCAGAAACTTGATGTAAACTAATAATAAATGGAGATTTTTTGAATCGAATCATAAATCATTTTTCTTATTTGATTCAAAATATTGAAGCTTTGCAAGGACCTAATATATGTCTAGGACATGTTAAACTGGTTTTTGGGGTAGGTGTGAATTGTTAGTTGTGGTGTAGGCAAATTATAGAGGATAAGATGTAAAATCCCCACTTTGATATGATATTGGTAAAAGGAGATCATAAATCATGGCTTAAATCTTCCTAGTGATAGATATAAATAAAGATATATAAAAATACTCAATCCTGTTCCGTAAAATACGTTTATTTTGGAAGGGTATCCAGAAGTAAAATTTGCTTTAAACTATCCATAATATTATGTGCATTAGAAATTAACAATTTATAAAAATTTCTTTGAATATATTAACACCCATCGTTCCAAACTTATGTAGCTTAGACAATTTTTCAATGCAAATGATAGTATTAGTAGTTTGAAGCAAATTTTACACACTCTAATATATTACATAGTATACTGCGCTTGAAAATATATTATGATTTTTTAATGCTTCATTCGTATGCATTAAATTTGTGTAACTTGAATACAAATTTAAATTTGTGTAGTTTAAATGTATAAAATATCATTATATATATATATATTGCATAATGCATATAATACTATTATATACATTGTAGTATAATATATATAATATAATGTATATACTATTATTATATACATTATAATACAATGTATATAACATGGACACAAATTTCATGCATTTAAATTGTATATAATATATGGTTAAATGATTATAATATATTATATTATAATATATCATATAAACTATATTATATAGTTCATATTAACTATATTTAATAAACATATATAAATTAAATGCATACAAATAACATAGTATACAAAATATGTAATATAATATATTTGTATATAATTTGTAAATAAATATATTGTGTTACATAGTTTATATGTAACTTATGGACTTTGTAGCCTGTTATATGCATTTTAATCATTTTTTTTAGCTATATACATTAATATAAGTGTATCATACATCTATAAATTAAGATAAAAGTAGTGTTAGATGAACTCTTTATTATTTATTTGAAATTGAATACTCAGATCTGAGAACAATTTCAAATCAAAATAAGAAACATTTTAATAAAAATTAAAAATTAATAAATTGTCACGCTCAGATTTTTTAGGAAAAATTTTCTGAAAATATAAACAAATCACACTTTTAACATTTAGATAAATGTGGCAGAGAATCCCAGTTTTTTATATACTAAAACATCTTTATCTTGTTTTTATATATATATTTTTTTTATCAACGATTCAATTGTCTTTATAGTTACTTCATACTATCAAAAATATACAAACAATATTTACAAACTGAAATTTTGAACATGTTGTTGCTACTCAAAAAAATTCTTTGTATTTAAAGGCGTCGCCATCTTTAAAATTGAAATATCTGTATTTACATTTGATTATGTGGAAAGTTATTATACGCGCTTGCGTATAATAACTTTCCACATAACTATATTTTCTAAAAGTGTAATTTTGTTATCATCTCAATACACATTTAGCATATTTTTATGATTTAATACTGATTGCTCCTTATTAAGTGATAAGTGAATGATTTTCAAATAAATTACAAAGGGAGTGATAATGCCATAGTATAAAGCATTTTAAAAATTACTAAAATTAAATAGAAAAAAAAGTATAAATCAGGTAAGCTTATAAAATCATTATTAAATCAGGTTATTTTACAAATGCATAAATATTTTGTGTAACAACACGCATTAAAGTTAATAACGAAAAAATGTATTGTTGTTTTCGTCAGGCTGACAACTTTACAGTTAAATAGAAACGTCAACGGTGGTCGCCAGGTTGTGGTTTATCATAAGGCCTACTTGTTTAGGTTTATTCAACACCACAGATGTATTTATTATAACAGGCTTGATCAGTTTTATTACTTAGCAAGTTTGCGCATTTAGCAAAATCAGTGAGACTTTATTTATACACTCACAAAGTTAAATAACTTATGTGTGTCTACAATATGTTCAAAAAAGCTGATTTTTCTAAAATAAATTTAGATAACAAGTACAAACATTATGTTGTTAACTAAGAAAATGCCAAATAAAAACGGTATCCATAAAGACTTATATCCTAACACAATTAGAGCGCTTCTAATGATAAATTCTCAAACAAAACATTTATAAATTGCCATTCAAAATCATATTTAAAATAGAAACTTGTTATCTTATCTTTAGCGTATTCGTTTGCGAGATGAGTGGTAATGGGGTGGCAACAGTGTACCAAATACTTTTGATAACCAGTAACCGATGTAAAACATCAGCTGCATTTTTTTATAGCTTGTTACATTGAAAAACAACGTGATACAACGCATGCTATTTTAAATAACGTGTTTCATTGCATGTTGTATTATAAAACCTCCCCTGGCGCTGATGTTGAAGAGGTACCCCAAAACCAAGAATCAAGGGTTGTATCAACCATAAAATTTCTAAATAATCTTAAAATATAAAGATGTAGTTAAAAAAATTATTGAATTTTTATCGAGACCCCTAATAAAGACAAACTTCTTGGACTAAGAATTTGGTGAGTCGAAGTTTCTAAAGCCGGCTTCGTTTTAAATTTATATTTGCATTTGTTAGATGTCAAAACAACATTTGAATGAGTTGGCAAAAAAAGACTTTTCGAGTACATTATGAAACGTCATACGCAGCGTTATAAAAAGTTACGCACGCCATATTAAAAATAAAAATAAAAAATTAAATTGCTTTTATTTGTTTAGCGCAACCACATCAAAAAAGCCATATGTATGCAATAAAATAAAGAAATGAAGTGGATAAGTAATCAAGTTCATCTTCGCATATATTAGACAAAAGAGAGGATATAATCCGGTTTGTCAAAGTGCTTTATAGTAATTTGAACCCATTACGATAAAGAAAACAAACAAACAAATATAACGTTTGGAATTGCATTATTGTTTGCATAACTATTTGCGTGTGTTTGTGCATGGAGTTTTATATATAAGGCAAAAAAGGTACTTTTATTTACTTGTAAAATATATAAAAAAAAGAAAAGTTATATAAAATGAAAAGAAAAAGAAAAGTTATATAAAATTACTAGTAATTATGAGTAGCACTTTCCCAGAAATTGAAGTTTATTATCCTGATTGTTAAACTGATTTTTAAACTAATTTTTTGATTTGGCAATCTTTATTTAAAATAAATTTTGTTAAATAGAACTATTGTAAAAAGGTGATGAAGAAGTTAACCTTTGTACTAACTTATAAAACTCAAGAAATAAATATTCGCGATGTTGTCTAACTCGTAAAATACTTTTTTTTTTACTTGTTTTAGTTTAGGGAAATAAAGCTATTCAAAATGTCGTTTGCGTCGTCATTTACGACGTGTTTAGATCTATGTGATGTGAGTATGTATTACGCAATTAATAATTACTTAGATAAGTGGCCAAACAACCGAACCTAAGTTTTCGTAAATTGCCAATACATATAAATTAGACATAAAATAAATTCAAACATCTCGAATAATTTTTTTATTTATTTTCATTACTTCATTGATATATTGAAAATGTTTATTTAAAAAACTGGTTTGTCATTTAATAACCTCAGTTATTGTTTTTGTTTTGTTTATTTTGTGGAATGCCGGATAAGATAAAAACGGTATCATTTAATTTTTTCACTATTGATATTATCTAAAATTAAAGTCTGTCCCACTACTCATTTTAGTGTTTTGTTGTTTGTATATTATACGGTATTTACACAACTTCAAAATAAATCCTTCTAATGATGATGAAAATCTACAAAAAGTAAAGTTTTATATGATTTTATAATTTTTAGCTCACTTTGCATAAGCACACGCACGTACGCACACACGTTTGCGCGTTGCGTTTTGTTTAAGTTTGATGTTTAACAGAGAAAACACACAAAAGATGATTGTATATACTATAAAGTATACAGCTCTGAAAATAAATAACGCTGTAACTTAAAACACTTTATTTGAAAAGCTTATTGATGCTGTAAATTGCTACTGTATTTTAGTTTTATATATTCTTTAAGCTTAGTAGACCATCTTAGACGCTGTATCTTATATGGTAAAACTAAGTCAAAAAAAGTGACTAAATTATTTCGAGTTAAATTAAACATTTCTTATCATAATCTTTTTAATATTTTTAATTTATTTTAATAAACATTTATTTACCTAGTAAATAAGTGGAAAAAAAAAACAGTGCATGTTTGATAAATTGCTAAATAAAATAAATTGAATTTTATGACCAACTAAAAATTCGAGTAAAATTTTGTCCGATAAGATACATGAACTTTTGCAGACTTTAAAAAACAGACAAATGACGAAAAAGCACAACCTTTTAGCTTATTGTTTGTAGCTTGAAGTTTTTATTTTACTGTTTTTACCAATATGGAAATATCTTAATTAATAATTCTTTTTTTTTTAATTTTAGAATTAGTTAAAATATATAGAAATATATATATATACAACTGATAAAATATGGATATGTCCACAAGTTTGTCTTCTCTATTTGGAAGAAATATTTTTTGCAGTCGGATACTTTTTCTGTTGATTATGATCAATTTTATCAAAATAAACAAAGCGCTCACTCTGGTACCCAGTACTTTGGTAATTAATTATTTTAGATCACTTATGTAATGATTCAATTTATTTATTTATATCGATCTAGTGGGGCTTTAAGTTGAATCGTGTGCGTCTTTTTTCCTGCAGTAAAACCTTTTCTAAAAGTGGCGTCCTCTAAATGATATTCAAATATATTTTTTCTTTTAAAAAAAACTGCTTCTGTGCTGTATTTTTAGAGTAACTTTAATATCATGATAACTTGTGTATGCGTTGTTGGCAATTTAGTTTAAAATTAGTTTATGTTTATAGAGGTCGTGCCAAAGCAATTCTGATTGTATGACGGATGAATGCTGTGCAGCGCAACAACATGGAGGGGTTGGTAGATGCGAAAAAATGTTGACACAAAATGCTCCGTGTCTGCAACAATACGATATTAAGGTAAAAATGGTTATTATTATCATTATTATTTTCTACTTTGATATTTATATCGGGAACGTGATTAATATTATGTTGAAATATATAGATTGTTTTTTTGGCCAATGGTGGAATTGCTAAAAGTAAATGTGGCTGTCAATCGGGTTTGATTTGCACAAAATTACAGAGAAATAATTGGAATATAAAAAAGAGAGAATGGTCGGAAGAGGAGAGACAGAAAAAAACAAAATATAAACTACAGTGTAAACCAATACCTGGTGAAGTCGACGAAATAATAGAAAACAAATAAACACACAAGAAACAGAATAAAGAAAAAAATTATGTCAAATGGTTGCGGTACCTGACACAATTCAGCAGACAACAAGTACAAACCAACATTCGATGAAATGAAAGTAAAAGTCTTTTTTTGTTTTAAAAAAAAGTATAAATATTATGAAAATAACATCCTATCAAAACGTCGTGAAAATGTTTGACCTGTTATAACATCAAAAAATTGAATTGACCTATCAAAGCATATCTTTACAGCTTTGTTATGATCCGTCAAAACCTCTTGATAATGTTTTTTAAATTGTTTTATAAGGAAAATAATATAAAGAAAAACGAAAAAATAAAAATTTAAATTTAAAAAAATAAATAATTTTTTAACAGTTTTGTGAATGTTTATTTTTAAAAACGAAAAAATAATTTTAGGGTGTAGTTATTTAAGAAATATGTCGCTATGTCAATTTGACTTTAACATTGGTTTTTTATTTAAACAAACATGACTATAGTTTGACCAGAAATTTTATTTTGCTTAAATTAGAATAGTATTTTTATTTCACTATATTGTGCAACGTTATCTTGTTTATGCTTACGCAAATTTTTTAATGCCAGAAGGGCGTATATAATAATAGTATTTTTATTTATTTGGCACGCTGTAATTTTGTAAAATTCTTAACTTATTAAATCCAAATGTATTAAGAATAACCTATTTTTTATTTTAATACAATTTTTTTATTTTATTATATATTTTTTTCTACTGCACTACATTTTATTCTACTTATTTATTTTTTTCTAAATTTTCAGATATTATCTCTTTATATAGCCTTAAATAATTTCTTATTTATTTTTCTGGCTAAAAACTTTAAAAAAATACTTTCTTTAGCCAAACTAAACAGCCCTCGCTTTTTCTTGTTTATTAGTATAACACCATTTATAAAACAACATTTTTTATTTATTTTTGAACTTTATTATTGAATAAACTACTTTAAAATGTCATTATTATTGAGCTTTCTTTCCAAAGAACTTTTTTGAGCTTTCACGATTTAAATAGAACATTTATTTTAGATGCGTTTTTTACATTCATACATACATACATTCATACATACATACAAAAGCCGACGACACGGATTTCGAAGTGGAGGGGGGCACAATCGTCAATTTCTAAAAAATGTCCTCTATATCAAGAATTTTACAACAAAAAAAAAAAAAAAAAAAAAAAGAAAAAAGGCCCTATAGAAAATGGTGGGGTGGTAGAGAGGGAAGCACGTATCCCCCTGCGTCATCGGCCCTGATACATACATACATTGAGTCTTGATATATCTTCCTTCATGCCTATTATTACAAAAAAGAACTTTCCTGTCTGTTTAAATAACTAATTGCTTAACATCCGTGGTTGTATACTTTATAATTTTATTAACTCTGCTTTTTTACGAACAAAAGTAGACTTGAATAAAGTATTTTACGTGATTTATAGAAACAATTCAAGAGAATCAAGAATGAATCAAGAAAGAATTCTAATTTATATAATACACATAATACTTTTATTTTTATAAGAGAAATACAGTTTCACTCTGAGCTTCATCAAATAAAACTCAAAATATCTCAAAAAATTTGTGCTCTCGATTGCTTTGACAATGATGGCTTAAAGTGTAACACAAATATTATCAGCTTTTATTTAGTTAGGTTTTTGTTCCTTCACTGAAAACTCAATTAAAACATTATTTTTCCGGGGGAGGAGGCATTGGCCTCCCCTCCCCCACTATTTCTTTATATGATTTTTTTTTTTTTTTTTTTAGAAATTTCTAGATATAGAGAAATTTTTTTATAAATTGACGATTGTGCCCCTTCCACTTTGAAACCCGTGTCGTTGTCGGCCATGTTTTTGATAATTGTATTAAACTTAAACAATGAAGTAAAATTATTGTAGGTATAGATTTCTAAAAAAAAAAAAAGGAACTATATAATCCCAATCATCATTTAGAAATAAAGACCACGCAAACAAACAAAATTTAAAAAAAGTTAAAACAAAATAGTGATAAAAAGGAAGGAAGTAAAAAACGGTTTTTTGTCATGTTTCGCGACAAAAGCAACTGCATAAGCAGTTGCCATTATCAGTTTGTTGAGAATTAAATTTTATTCATTAAGAATTCAAATTTCTTTGTTGAAAAGTTCTTTTATTTGATTTAGCAATACTTTGTATTTGATATTTTAAAAACATGTAATCTTAAGATTAAATTATTATTATTATAAGCATAATGTTTTAAATACATGAAAATAAACCTGATTTTATAATAACCTATTTATTTTAAGAATTGTATTTTTGTTTTGTTTTTTTTAATAAAAAGAACCGTGATAGTTAAGGTATCACAGCAGTTTTCCACAACCTTGTCACTCTCAAGTTTTGTTTAAATCTTGAACTTTAATCAGAAATTTAAATATTGAGATTTTGATATTGAGTTGAAGTCATGAGAGAAATCATACTTAGGTCATAAAAATTTTAACTTTTATAAGCATTAAGTTGCAATTTTTAACTTTCATAAAGTTAATACAAAAATTAAGAGCAGCTAGTTAATGGTAACTATTGCACCATTTCCCGCTTATCCTTCAAGTTTCTCCAATATTTATTTTATAAACGGAATAAAAAGATGGCTGCTACTTTTTGCTACTTTGAATCTGGTTTTAATTTTTCTATTTAACTTTTAAAAATTGATTATAAACGCTGATTAAACATATTGATTAAATTCAATATGTTATAACTTTTAAGTTAATATATAATAAATATTGAAAACCTTATTCTTTGTTGTTTAACCTTTAACATTTTTCAGCCGTAAAGAGGGAAATAAGGACTTCCACGTCCTTAATAAAGTTTGGGCATAGTTTTTTAAATCACCAAGATGTATTGTAAATAGTATTAAACCCTTTTGAGCACACTCAAAGTCTTAAACTATGTAAAAACATGTTACAGTATTCAAAATCATTTGGGTTACAAAATACTAAAGCATTTATATTTTTGAAAAAAAAATTTGACTACGCCTTTTTTTTTAATTTTAGCTTATCTGCTATAATCGGCTTTTAAGAGTAAGTAGAAATGTTTATATCTTTTATGCCAGTTTTAATTAATGACAGACTTAATGCATAAAAATTCTTGAACTCACTAGTACAATAATTGTTCTCTGCGCAAAAACTACCTTTTTGCGCAGGGAACAATTATTTTTTTCTTTTATATATCAATTATTCTTTTTTATATATATCATCGGCATATAAAAAAATGGTATATAAAATTTTTTTTATATACCAACGATGACATTTTAGAACAGCTTTTTAAATTAAAGCTTACTAATTTTACATTTTCTAATAGATTATGATATTCGAATATCGATTAATTATATCAAATTGATTAACGAATTTACTTTTCATAGTTTTGATTTTATAATTTGACATAAACCATTTCCACAAAATACTACCAAGTTTACTACAATTATTGTTGTAACGGTCAACTTTATATAAACATTTTACTTAGTAATGAACCCCTATTCAAATCGTGCACATATTTCAAATTTCATAAAATATTATATTAGTACTTGAGGCGTTTTGGTATTTTAGTGTTTGTAAAATTACTTATTGCTTCCACATTTGGGATGGGATTGGTTTTATTTGTTCAAATTTAAGGGTTTATTTGTTCCCCACGCTCTAACAATACTATCTTTTTAAAGCATCTTTATTTGATGCAAAAAAAAAATGCCCGGGTTGAAGTTTCATCCATGCCTAAATATTGACTACCTCGATCATCAAAAACAGCAGCCACGACATCTGACTAATGACACTATTGCAAGAAAACTAGTTATATGTTGTTAATTAATTAAATTATTGTTAAATTGTATTCTTATAGAAGTGTAAAAATGCAATCTTATCTTTTTATAATTGTCCGAAAATAAAAATATTATTTTTTTGAGACTTTTTTTTGAAACTTGCTTTTTTGTTAATATTAAAGCTATGTTGTTGAAAATCTTACAAAAAATTCATTCCTATTCCGGTATAAATCACTTTGAAAGTCACTCACTCTCCTTTTTTTCTGACTAAATTCTCCGTTCAAAATATCAAGAAAAGCAAGTTTTTATTAAGTGAACTGTGAATTCAGTGAACTTGCGCTCTGTAATAACATTCGGGTTGCTGTTCAGCACGATTAATCTGATAAGTAAACAAAGGTAAACAAACATTGGAAAATCTAAGGGTGCATAAATTAAGAATGCATAAAGAGAGAACCCATAAGCTAGAAGTGCTAATGACCAAGTGCTAATGAGTATTAACTACAGTATTTTTAACGCACTTTTTATCCATTTTTTTAAAAGGTGGGAATTTTCAGAAGTAAAAGTTTATTTTTTGTAGAGGGTTTAATCAACGAGGTGCATTATATTGAACTTTTTCTTTTGATAAGCAATAAAACTTTTGAAAAAGCAGTTTTACGAAATCATTATTTATTTATAAAATAATTTATAAAACTTTATTGAACTTTGTAATTTTAACTTGGCAATAACAAATATTTCCGAAACAAAAAACTAAAAAAAAATTTTCTTCGTTAAGTAAATATTTGTTAACTCAATAAACATATTGTTTTTAATTCTTGTGTAAATATATTTTAAATAAAAAATTAATTTGATAAATTACATAATTTAACAAACTTGATTTTATTTACAAAAAACAATAAACTTGTTTAAAACCAGTTATAATTATTTTGTTAAATAAAATCTAGGATTTACTTTTAAAGTCTCAATATGTAAACTTGTTTGAATAAGAAACACAAAAATCCGAAAAAAAGTCCGCACCGGATCATACATAAATTTTTTTAAATTTATTCTAGATTACAGTAATTAGAGTAAAATGGGTTAAAATGGAATAGTTATGATTTTAATTATTAATTTTTTACGGAAAAAAGATTTTACCTTTTTTTTTTTTTAAAGTTGTAGAGAGTATTGAGCTGTATTTAAATAAGTAAAATTTTACCAATTTTTTTGTAAAGTTTTTCATGAAACTTTATTTGATTAAAATTTTTTTTATCCATTCTAGACTGACATTCGGCGAGAATGAAATACGCAAATATAAGTGTAATTAAAATAACACTTTATTTAAAAAAAAAAGAAGCAATCAATAATAACAATTAAAAAAACAATCAATAATAACAATTAAGAAAATCAATAAAATAAAATAAATTTTTTTATTCTTGTGATGATGTTGAGTCGTTTAGAGGTACTAGAGGTTGAGTTAAGTTTCACTTGTGTGGCATTTTTTGTAGCAATAAAACTTAGCGTCTTTTACGTATCGCTTTGGTATGAATGTTTGACATGCCAAACCTTGTAATTTGAATTTTCACACTGGTACCATTGCATAATTTGACTTACTGAAGTTTTGCCCAAAACTTTTCGGCACTTTTTACACTTGAATTGGTTTGCAGCTAATATTTTCATTGAACTTGTTGCTTGGTTTATTTGCTGTTCTCCATTAGAGCTAAGCTTAGGTTGTTTTTTAGCTTGCTTTGCTGCTTTTTTGCTCACAGCATCTTTCAACCTTTTAAGTATTTTAGGTTTGTTGAGACACTCCCCTTCGAATCTTGGCACATCTACATTTTTTCTTTTTTTTGTGTCAACGTGTTGGATACGAAACATTTGTTGCAAAGTTGATCCAAATGATTGGGCTGATTGCAGTTGTTTTGCAACCTCTTTTTGAATTTCCTTTTGAGTAGCCGGAGTAACTACAATATTGAAGGTTGTTTGCAGACAAGGTGACTTTTGAGATGACTTTGGAGCTGATGCTATGTGACATATGCTGATGCTAGATATTGTTGGTGTAGATTCAGTGGGCAGTGGCTGAGGTAGAGTTGTTCCTGGTGGTAGATTTGGTGATGGCACTATCATAGATTCTGGTTGTTGAGATGATGAAGGCTCAGGTTCAGATCTCGGAGTTTCATATGTATTAAAAATTTTTAACTGACTGATCGATTTTATCGATGTCGAGTGGAAACAAGCCAGTATTCTGAAACCCAGTGACTATCTAAGTACGTGTAAAAACTTCACCAGAGCTGAAAAGTTTTTTTTGCAGTTGACTGAAACATTCTTTTGTAAAGTTGCTAAATTTTGTCTGTGCATAAAACTGTTGAAGTAATTTGCGATGAGTGAGCTGGTAAGCAAATTAACAAGAGAGTAACTTGCGAATTTTATTCATTTATTAGAACCATT